GTTGCATTTATTGTCATTTCATTTCATAATATTCATAATAATATATATAATATATAAAAAACAAAATAATGGCTCAAAAATAAATCTTTGCAAAACTGAAATCAAGTCAATTCACAATCAAAATCGCGTTTTCCATACAAAAAACAATTCAATAATTCCTTAATTGTATTAAACTTTAAGTACAAATACATTACAATTCGTGCCAATCATTCGATGCCTACCAATCACACAGTCTTACCATCAGTTTTGTCTCATTTCGGGCACCGATTAGTGAAACACAAAATTAATTACAATTAAAACTACATTTCGTTCAAACAATTTATGCGACAAATGATTGATCGGCAAAACTAATGGCAACCAACTCGTGAGCGAACGGCGCCATCGAATGATTATTATACCGATTATTATACTTAAGATAAACAAAACAGCGATTTATAAGAATATTCTTGAGATTAGGAGTACTGTCCGTAAAATGAATGGTAACTCAACACAAATGGCAATAAAATTAAATTAAACTTCAATTTCAATTCGCAAACTAAACATCGGTTTTGTATTAAATTACATATAGTTTTATGTCTTGTTTTTTATAAATTATTTTTTTGTATGTTTCGAGAAAAAAAAATCCATTTGTATTCAAATGTCGGGTTAATTATCATTAATATTTTAATAGGCATTTGACTGTAAACTGCAATCATTTGCCGCACAATAAGGTTTGCATCGATTTATCGACAATTCATTTCGAGATCTTCACTATTAATATAGGATTTGGCGCTTCATATCAAAGCCATTATCATATGATACGAGAAAAACAAACAATTCATTAGATTATTGATTATAACGAAAATATAATGCGAAGACATCAACACATCTCTGGACAGACAGGACATCCGCTGCGGGACACACGAGACCAGCACGCGATGAGAGCGCCTACCACTCGGCGTCGCCCACCGCCTTCTGGAACACGTAGTCCTTGCCCTGAAGATTCATTATGCCGTCCTTCAGGTGGAACTTCCATTTGTTTCGACTTCTGGTGATCTATCGAAACCGAACACACAATCAGTACCACCGATAGGTGTGTCCACACAGACATCCATACCTTATCGTACTGACAGACCACCACATTGTCCGTCTCGAACAGTTCCGTAGGGTCTTCGTCGCTGACATCGTCCTCGGAGTTCAGCGGTTCCTACAGATAATACATAAAAACACATTATAATCATAACCACAAACACAACACCAATCCTCGCGTACCTCATCCTCTCCCTGTCCATCATTATCGTCGTCATTGACCTCTTCGTCGTTGTCTTCGTGGTCGTCGTCATCCCTATCCCTATAGCCGTC